ATAAATGAAATGCGAATCAAAGCGATACCCAATTGAAATGGCCAATGACCAAAGCCAATCTAGGATGAGGTTGGTTTGGTCTGGTACATAAAATTAAGGATCGGGGTGGAAGGTGGTTTCCTGCGGAGGGCTGTGCCCAGTGCAAATAAATAAATGTAATTGAAGGCAATTATTGACGTTCGATTGGAATTAAAATTTGGTCCTGTGATGAGGGAGAGAAATACCAAAGTGTTAAAGCATTTAAGGTACGGCGCCTAAATTGAGGTTTGCAATAAATAATTCATTTTTATTGTTTTAAGCTTTAATAAGTTTTAAATATATATTATATTATATTATCTGATTATTAAATAAAAAATTGTATACTTATAGTCAAAGGTATTCCCAAATTAATAAGGCTAAGTGATTTGCTCGATTTTGTAAATAAAAGCTAAGGTATAAATCAAAATAAACAGCCTCTTTTTAAGGTCTTATAGTGGTCCTTTTTTATTATAACAATATTCTAAAGCCATATCAATTAAATACTTACATTTAAACGAAGAAACATAGTAGAAATATACATAAACACAACTCTGAATATCGATAAACAATTTTCTTTATTGGTTATCCTCGTTTACATTTCAATAAAGCCGGAAATAAAATAGACGCGGAACTCATTTTGATAAATAGCTGGAAAAGTGATATTCCCTCAAGCTATTCGCACATTTTACATATACACCCACGAACTTACTCACACACTTACACGGGGCAAATTGCCGTATCCCTTACTATAAACCTCTCACCTCCCAACTTTCACCCACTCTGCATCTATAATTTGAAAAGCAAACTCATAAATATTCAAAAAAGAAAAGGGCGGCAACGTCCATCGTCGCATTATTATTGTGTAGTGTGTGTGCGTGTGAGTATCTATGTGTGTTTTATATGATTCGCCCACTACAAGTACGAACTTTGGGGGAGGGGAAAACAGTCACGCCCAGCCAAAAATGCGATTTTCTTTTTAATATAACCAAAGATGCCGAAAAGAAGTGAAAGAAAAGTGGAGGCTGTACACAGAAACTTTATTTGAACTTAAGAAAACAATATTGAAAAGTTGTGAAGAATCACATACAACTAAATAATGTTTTAATACTAACATACTTTAAAAATTTCTTAGCTGACTAAGAAAAACTGTTTTAAAAGTACTGAAATAAGAAACGCTTAAAATAAATGGATCATATTTAATAGATTTAATTATACCACAAAGTATGGTCAATTGGTTTAATGATGACAGATTAAAAATACATTTTTTTTCTGTGCAAGAGAAATGATGAGCGTCATTGTCTGTAAGTGTGTGTGTGTGTGCGTTGACGGTTGAGTGAGTGTTTATGTGTGTGCTTGGCTTTTTGAAAAGTCCGAACCATAAAATTGAATAAACCGCATTGAAGCACATTATTTTTTATTAACTGCAGGCTAACCCTCTGCGCACAGAGAGGGTCCTGCAGAGTGCTAAACCAAAATCCCGAGCAGGTTGTCCTTACGGTCATCGCCTTTGATCCCCTGCCCCCGTTGTCCTGGCCCTCAGTCATGTCCTGTGCTTTTGACCGACGTTTGTCAAATAGTCTTTTGCAATTTACACACCCAAAAACTTTTGTGCGACAGAGGCGACCAATGGGTTATGTTACGTTGCAAGATACCCATTTGGGGTTACCATTGGAGATGACACGGGCATACAAATTTTAAGAAGTAAAATTAAACTTAAAAATAATCGCATTCATTAAATAAACTTTTAAAAGTGATAAAAAAGAAGAAAAAGTATTATACTTATTTATTTTGTGGAGCATTGTAAAGTTTTTTAAATACAATAACTATTACGAAAAAAATATTAAATCAGATCATAAATATTTGTCATTGTAAAATAACGTCCCTTAAAACATAAAAATATATCAAACCTAGGGAATATTATATTATATAAATATATATTTTATTTGAGATTATTGGAAAAAAAATCAAGCTCAACTTTGTTCGTTTTCCAATTCATTCGTGATCTGAGTGAGCTGAAAATCAGTCAGGCTGCCATCTCCCGTCTCGGTTACCATTTTTGGGGATATATCAGAATTGGGTGCAGCGTTTGTTGGCTATGGACCCCAGACCTATATCCATTGTGTGAGTGTCCCTCTCGGCGAGTGTGTGTGTGTGTGCGAGTGTGTGTGCACTTGCCTTTCAAGCACCTTATTTATAAGCACTTTTAATGGAGTTGGCTTACGGAAAACGTACGAGTGTGAGTATGCGAAGCCTGGCAGCATATTTCTTGTCTCTGTCCGCCATTCCCCTTCCCTTTCGCACAGACTGTCTGTGTGTGTGCTTCAAAATCTGATTACGATTTTTATATGACACTTTGATATGATTTATTTGGTCATTCAGTTTTTCAAAGGCAGGCCTCCAAGCCGAGGCATTGCCTTAACCCCACAGTGGCCACGCCTCGCCAAAAGGGTGTCAATGGCTTTTGAAATATCTGCAGAGGATTTTTGTTTTTCCTCTCGGCGAGCCAACAAAAATTGGAAAAACATATGGATTTAAACAGCCGAAAATTATATACCCTTTTTGGTCTCTTTGGAAAAATTTTAATTTTATATCATACTAGAAGTAGTACAAATCGATAAAAATAATTATTAAGCCTAACAGCTTGAGGTTTTAAGTTTTATTTAAGATAACAATTATTAAAAACATTGATGAATCACTAATAGAATTGGATTTAGAAAAAAGAAATGTTTAAGAGGTAAGGAAAGACCCAATTGCTTTTTAACATATTGAAACGATTTATTTCATATTTAAGCATATAACAAATCTTTGACTATTTTATGAGTCCTTTTAACTGCCCCAAGGTCAAAAGTTGGGAATACCTTTTGCAAGGGTATAAAATGGAATAATAAAAGGATCCAGACTGAAGGACCAGCTTCCTACTTGTGCTTATGGCCGGATAATGTGAGGCTTCAGCCAAGTTATTTGCAACTGCTCGTTGTTGTTGTTGGTGGGTGGGTTGAGGGGAGGGGGCATAAAGAGGCGGGGTTCGGTGGACCTCCTGTAATTGATGACCTTCGCGATACGTTGTCGTCATCCGTAGATCCTTTTTTTTGGCTCTTGCCTCGGGCTCCTTTTCGGTTGTTGGCTGTTATTTTTATGGCAGGGCACTAAAAATTTTCTTTTTTAAATTGAATTTAATGAAAGGCGTGAGCACTGAGAACGTAAAAAATGGGAGAAAAATCGCTCCGGGCACACCATATTCAAATGGCATTTTCAAATAAATAAGGTCGCGCTGGCCAAGGGATTCCCTTAATCGCATTCCATAAAAAATCGCATATAAATAGGGAAAGTAAATTAACTTTTACGATATTTAAGTTATTGAATTATTGGTATAAGCTTAAATAAAACGTTAAGAAAAATATGCTACGAATAAGAAAGAAATTTACAACTGAAAGCTGGAAAAATTCAAACTTCGAGGAAGTTAAACAAAAAAATATTTTATAAATGTTCAGTTAAATAAAACATGAATTATTAATTTTATTATATATGTGGAGATTAGAATATCGTTCCAAACTCACTAAGTGTTAAAAAAAATAGCAAACGAGAAAGCCTCTGCAACCTCACAACCTTTCCGCAATAAATTCAATTGTGTAAGCAAACAACGAAAAAAAGCAAATGAATAAAAATAAATAAAAAATAAATCGCTCGATGCAAAGTCCAAGTGCTTATCCTGGTCATTTTTATGGGCTCGTTTCAAACTTTGTTTTCCTGCTGCTATATATATTTTTATTGCATAAAAAGATTTGCTCTCTTCGCCGTTTCCCCCTCCATTGCCCTCTAGGTCCCTTTCCCTGCATCGTTATAATAATTATTGCAGGTATTAAGTCAAGTAGCCGCAAAGAGCCCTCGTTACCCCCTGGCTAACCCAATCCGGCCTTTGAAACGAGGCCCCTGTCCCTTGAACCTTTTATTCCGTTTGTGGTCACTTTTTCATTGCCCTTTTTCCAGGCTTTGCATAACAATAATTTTACTGTCGTTACAGTAGAGCATACATAACCGAAACTACCGCCCGGCACATTAAAGTTCATATTAAGAGGTATAAAGAATATCCATTATCCTTACATTAAATTTTGTGTTTTGAAATCTTCTGAATTAGTGCCCAAAATTGAAATTTACAAACTCCCGTCATCTATAAATATATATATATATATGTAATCTTGAATTTATATTCTAAGTTTATATTTTATATTTTATTACTGTTCATTATCTGTGTACAGATGAAAATCGTGTTATAGCAGTTTTACCGTAGTTGTACGGATATATACTAAATTTGGATAGAAACCGCAGCGATTTTCGCGCAACGTGGTTTTTTGCGGCTCATGTTCATTCTCAGGGATCGGGGGACAAAACAAAAATGTGTTTAATTAATTTTTTGTTGCATAATTCGAGGGATTTTAGTTTTACACTACGGCGCAAATCGGAAAATACCAAATAGTTTGTGGTTGTTGCTCCATCATTGAAAGCAACAAATGTACCGCGCACGTGTACTGATAACCATCAGTTCAAAAATTTAATGTAGGGCAGATACTATTGTAATGATACAAAATAAATAATATTGGTCTTTAAATATATATAAATTGTAAACACACAAAATATTGAAGATAATAATACTTAAATAAAAGCATTTTTTGCTTACCAAAAATTGACATGGAACTAAATTATATTTTAAAATATATATTTATACAATATTATGATTAAACGATTAATATTTTAATAGAGCTAAAACAAATAATAGTCTTAATTTATTTCCACTGTTTCGGCATTAAGGAAAACTATGATAACTGAAATTATATCATAGCCCCTTAGCTTATATTTTCCTACACTAATAAAAAAATTGAATTGGAAAAACTAATACCTGTCTAGTAAACTCAACATTTTGTTTATAACATTGAAATTTATTATAAAATCATAGTTTTAAATACAATGCATATTAAATTCAATGATTCAATATAAAAAGTTCTAATTTTATTTAAATTAAATACGTTTTGAACTTATATAAAATGTTCAGATATTAAAACTGCTCCGAAAGTAGTCAAAATATTTGGATTTACTACGTTGTTTTTACCATTGTAATTGACTACATGTATTTGGCCCACTAAAGCAATTAAAATTATAAATTCTGCGACCTTTTGCGCCTTGTTTAACATTTTTTGGACAATCAGAGCGCAGAACGCAGGCAGGAATCTTCCGATTGATGATATATCCTGGCTTGCAAACACAAGGACCCCCGCATATCAAAAGGCAGTTTTCTTTGCCTTTCGATTGACAAGTTTCTGGACAGGCTGTGGGGCAGTTTTCCTGAGTTCCATTAATAGTGCAATCGATTTTCTCAATGTAGCAATGTAACTTTGGGAAAAAGATTAGACCCACGAGTAGGAATATTCCAATTTTGCACATATTATTTAAAAACACCTTTGCTTTGCGTGTAAATTATACTCGGAAGAGATGTCTCAATTTGTACATTCAACCAATTTGTACCATGTCTAATATGATGAAACGAATCTTGTCAGTAATCCTTAAACTACTTCAGTTCTACTGATTAAGTAGCTTATTGCTTTTTATTTCAGTAAACATTTTTTTATACCCTTGCAGAGGGTATTATAATTTCAGTCAGAAGTTTGCAACGCAGTGAAGGAGACATCTCCGACCCTATAAAGTATATATATTCTTGATCAGCATCACTAGTAGAGTCGATCTAACCATGTCCGTCTGTCCGTCCGTCTGTCCGTCCGTCTGTCCGTCTGTCCGTCCGTTTATATGCAAACTAGTCTCTCAGTTTTAAAGCTATCTGCATGAAACTTTCCCAAAAGTTGTCTTTCTATTGCAGGTAGTATATAAGTCGGAACGAGCCGGATCGGACGACTATAGCATATAGCTCCCATAGGAACAATCGGAAAAATAAATGAAAAAAAATAATAACTTTGCTGTTTTTTAATTTTTTGTTTAGTTCTTCGACATATAGCAATGGTTAAATAATTCAGAATTATAACTTTGCTGTTTTTTAATTTTTTGTTTAGTTCTTCGACATTTAGTAATGGTTAAATATTTCCGATTTACGGTTTAAATTTTATCAAAATCGGACGACTATAGCATATAGCTCCCATAGGAACAATCGGAAAAATAAATGAAAAAAAATTATAACTTTTCTGTTTTTTAGTTTTTTGTTTAGTTCTTCGACATTTAGTAATAGTTAAATATTTTCGATTAACGGTTTAAATTTCATCAAAGTCGGACGACTATATCATATAGCTTCAATAGGAATAATCGGAGAAATAAATGAAAAAAAATTATAATTTTTCTGTTTTTTAATTTTTTGTTTAGTTCTTCGACATTTAGTAATGGTTAAATATTTCCAATTTACGGTTTAAGTTTCATCAAAGTCGGACGACTATAGCATATAGCTCCCATAGGAACAATACAAATATATAAAAGACCTATCAAATAATTGAGCTGCAAATCATCATAGCTTCAATGTTTTTAAACATATACGCAAGTAAATTATAATTTTAATGTTTTCAAAAATGTTTAATTCTTGCAATAGCTGCAAGGGTATATGAACTTCGGCTTGCCGAAGTTTGCTTTCTTTCTTGTTTATAAATGAAATACTTGGGAGGACGCCGAAGAGGAATATATAAACTTAATAGTTGGTAGCTTCTGAGTGAATTTATAATACCCTCTGCTAGTGTATAGAAATTGTTATAAATTTTGCTTTAATTCTCTTCGTAGAATGGTTGCTCGTTAAATAATACTATTATATAGCCTGGTGCGCCATAGTATGTTCCATAACTACACACAAATTGAAGACTGTATTCTTTTATAAGATTTTTTTTTTTTTTAATTTATCCTTAATTTTCTAATGTAATTAACAAATCCTATTAAAACTTATGCATTTAAAGTAGCTACCGGTCTTGGATCCCTTCTTTTGAATAACATCTTTCGGACAATCAGATCGAAGAACGCAGGTAGGAATTCTTTCATCAATTATATATCCTGGCTTGCACACACAGGGAGTACCGCAAATTAAAGGGCATGCACCTTTACCATCGACTTCACATGTTTCAGGACATGCTGTAGGACAAACTGCGTCGGTTCCATTGGCTGTACAGTCGTAAATTCTCTTTTGGCAGTCGATAGGCGTAAAAAGGATCAGAAGACCCAGCAGAACACCGATTTCCAAGCTCCGCATACTCGTCATTTTAAATTCGGTAGAAGAATATTGGATTTCCCAAGCTTGGTCGCTCTTTTTATTCACGTTCTTGTTAAATATAAAGCAATACTAATTTAATTAGATTTGCTAATTTTTTTCGTCTGTGTATATAATTTCTTTAACGAACAGCCTTTATGTTGTAAGAAAGTACACTAAAATAAATATTAATAATAATTTTGTTGTATTATTTTAGAAGTTAACTTAATTTAAGTCTGGGTTGTACAAAGTATTGTAGCCTCCATTATCTAAGAAGAATATTTAATGAATCACTGATTTTGACTTTCTTTTCGAGAAACCCCCGTTGGAAACTTTTATTTATTTCAATGCCTACAGAATGCGACAAATTTTTGTCGTTGAAAACTTCACCTCTACTCGTCGCAGTGTGAGTTTTCTTTAATAAAATTTTAGTCCGTCTTTCGGCTCTGCACTCGTTCTGTGGCCATGTGACACGCACACACACACACTGGCACAGAAACCAACAGACGCACACAAATGCAGACAAATATCTTGCAATGTTGGCGGCTGCAGACTGTCATTTGTTTACTTGTGTAAACTTTAATTAAATTCCAAAAAGACGACGACAGCAGCAGCTGGTGCAAGAGTTTCCCCGCCCGTTCCCTCCATTAAAAGCCCATTTCCCTCCCCAAAGTGTTGCCCCTGTACAATTTAAGGCCCACATTGCATTGCGATTTTAGGCCCACATTGCATTGCAATTCAGTCTGCCGATCGCCATAATTACTGACTTTGGACTGACCAACTTCACACAGGAGAAAAATCATTGTGACCAAAAACCCAGTTTTCACTAATAGTTAAATAGCTTGTAAGAAAACAATTTTTTTAAGCTCTTTTAATTAGCTCTAAAAACTTTGCAAGTTATAGTCTACACATCTAACAAGAGTGGCAAAAAAAAAAAATAGTTCGGTTAACTTTTAAAATATTGTAGCTTATAGAAATAAATTACTAAATATTATATTTTTGAAATAAACATCTGCTGTTACAGATGAAATCAATTTTTATCAAAAATATTACCATACTGAAGACCATGTTTGGTGTTTTTTTCTCAATGTACACACATCCAGGTCTCTGGACTCACTTTGTAAATTTAGGGACTGCAATTGCAAAAACCAAACTGTAGTGGCAACATCTGCCACTCCCGACAAACCGAGTTCAAAGTATTTTAACAATTGTCGATGGCAACGCTTGCACTGCGAAAAATACCAGACAGAATTAAGTTTGAATTTTTAATAAATCTATAAAATTGCATAGGTTCTGCAACTTAATTACCGAAAAGTTAAGGGAAAACATTTAGATACCGATTTAATTTAAAAAATGTGAATAAACATAAATCGAAGTGAAAATTGTGTTATCCCGAGTATGTAAAGGATCTCCATTTTTCAGTTTGTGTTCTGCGCTCTTATTGCCTGGCAAAAATTTTTAAAAGGCTACGCCGAACGTATCTAATCAATGTCATATGCTGTGGTTAAGACAGAGAATGTAAGAAAAAGTAATTTAAGTTAAATTTATATTATTTATATTCTAAGGCGAAAAAAGTTATAAGATAAAATATTAAAATAAACTCGTAGTTTTGCCACAAATATTACTATTATTTACTTAAGTGTTTTGTTTTTTACACTAATTTGTATCACAAATTCAGTAAATCTAATATTTATTTTGCTACCGAATTAATTTGACGAATATGCGGAGCTTGCCAATCGGTGTTCTGCTGGGTCTTATGATCTATTTTATTCCTATCGACTGCCAACCTTCGTCGACTGCACCGCCAATGGAACCCGTGCCAGATGTTCTTCACCATGTCCTGAAACATGCGAGTTCAATGGTTTTGGACCATGCATTAAAATTTGCGGAGGTCCTTGTGCGTGTAAACCAGGATATGTGATTAACCAAAGGATTCCAGCCTGTGTTCTACGATCTGATTGTCCAGCAGGGGTGGTTCAAAAGAAAGGTTCACGAAGGGTTGATAATTTCAAGTACTTTGGTTATTCCGAATATTTATAGCTTCATCTGAATACATTGTCAGAATTATCGTTCGCTTTAAAATGAAATCATATATTTTTTAATGGCAACTTTAAATTTTTTTATTGTGAGTAGATTTTTTTTAATGTGGCAATGGTAAACACAGCAATCCGTTTCAGAATTCGGAATTACTTTAAAATGAATCGTTTGGATGTCATTGAATAGAAAAACGTGATTTAAAATGAGATTTCACGGTTTAAGCTAAAATAAATTGGCAGAAATAATTTCACATTGTATACATTAAAAAAAAAATTAAATAAAAAGGCCGATCTTTTCACACATTTATCTTCAATCAACTACAATGTGGAACTTGGAAATATGTCTTCTCCTGGGTCTTCTGACTTTTCTTACACCTATCGATTGTAAGATCGACTGCACCGCAAATGGAACTCGGGCAGAATGTCCTTCATCATGTCCTGAAACGTGCGAATTTGATGGCGACGGACCATGCCCTTATATTTGCGGAGGTCCTTGTGTGTGTAAGCCAGGATATTTAATTAATCAAAGGATTCCAGCCTGTGTTCTGCGTTCCGATTGTCCAGGTGTTCAGCAGAAAGGCCGATCGACAGTACTTAATTTCAAGTGCTTTGGTCGAGACAGATGTTGATTTTAGAAAAGGTAAAACAAAGTCGTACAATAAATGACTTTTAGCTTGTGCGTGTAAGCCAGGATATGTGATTAACCATGGATTCCAGCCTGTATTCTACGATCTGATTGTCCAGCAGGGGTAGCTCAAAAGAAAGGTTCACCAAGGTTTGATAATTTCAAGTACTTTGGTTTTTCCTAGTATTTCTAGCTTCTTCTGAATACATTGCCAGAATTATCGTTCGCTTTAAAATAAAACCATATATTTTTTTATCGCAACTTAAAACTTTTTTATTGTGAGTAGGTTTTTTTTTTTGTTAAATGAGGCAATGGTAAACACAGCAAACCGTTTCAGAATTCGGAAAAGGAATTACTTTAAAATGAATCGTTTGGATGTCATTGAATAGAAAAACGTGATTTAAAATGAGATTTCACGGTTTAAGCTAAAATAAATTGGCAGAAATAATTTCACTTTGTATACATTAAAAAAAATTAAATAAAAAGGCCGATCTTTTTACACATTTACCTTCAATCAACTACAATGTGGAACTTGGAAGTATGTCTTCTCCTGGCTCTTCTGACTTTTCTTACACCTATCGAT